GCAAGCGGGCTTGAAGGCCTCTTGGGGGCCTCCAGGTACATGAACACTCACACACATGCAGGGCAGAGAAAGGTAGGGACACAGGGAGGCTGGGCAGTTATCCCTAGACCCAGGGCCTTGGACTGTGTGACAGGGATCATGTCCTGTCCCCTGTGTCCCAGCGTCCAGTGCAGGGCTCACCAAAGAGCAGATACATGTTGACTGAAACACAACGAAATGGCTCGACTCTGGGGAAGTCAGGGCAAAGTGTCCAAAGCGAGGTGGACTGTGTCCATCTCAGTGGTAAGCCACACCAGGTCCAGCTGACACATAAAGAACCCTACTGCACATTCCCCAAAGCACATCTCGCCATCTGCGGGCACCGGACCACCTCTGACACTCCTAGGTTCGGCGCCTCTGTCGACGCAACCCCAGGAGCCTCCTGTAACCGTCACCAACACCTGTTTGTTTTCTTGTTCCCTTTCATGAACACGGCCTCCCACTTCCTTGGCAGACCCCACTGAACACCCTACTGCTGCCCATCCTGCAAGAGTTCAAAGGGCCCATGGGCTACCCTGGGGTCAGTGGACACACGGGGCCTCTCCAGCATCGCAAAAAGTTCTAGCGGAGAGGCTGGTCTGGAGCCTGCCCTGACAGCTCCGGCCTGCAGCTGAGTCCATTATCGGGCCCCACACAGGCCCTCCTTTCCCGCCACACACACGTGCCTTCCACAATCGGCACCACCCCTGCTTCTCGGGAAGGGGACTACCTTGCCCTGCCGCCCACCGCGGACCCTCAGCGTGCGTGCCCGTGGCTGCGGGTGCCTCGCCCCTCCGCACACCGGAGCAGGTGCAGGCTGATGAAACCCACTCCAAGGGTCAAGTGTTGGCGATCCAGGTGTGAGGCAGATCCTGACGCCGCCTGGGGGTTCCCTGCCACGGGGACCCCCGCTCAGGCCCCCACGGTATCTAGGCTCAAAACTGAGCCCACCCCGACCAGGGGTCCAAGAACGCCGCCGAGGACAGCGCCCGGCCCCCCAAGTCGTCCCCGCCCTGCCCCAAACCCCGGAGGACCCCTCCAAGTCATCTCCGAGCCGGGGCCTCGCAACTCAGGCCGCGGTCCTCGCGCGGCGGCCACCCTCGCGCTGGGCGGGCCGAGGCCACGAGAGGAGGCGTGGGGGACTCGTCCCGCTTGGAGCCGGGCCGCCCCTCACTCACCCAAAGCCTCGGGGGCCTCGTCCCGGCTCACAACATCCGCCCAGCCCCTTGGCTACGGCGCGCGTCCAGGGCCAAACTGCGCGCCCGCGCGCGCGCCGCGCCGCGCATGCGCACTAGCCGGCGCCCGGCCTCCGCCCGGCTTCTCGTCTGCAATCTCTTGCAAGGATTCTGGGTTGGTTCATCTGGGCGCCCACCACCCAACTCCCTCCACTCCCCGCCTGTTCTGGGGCCACTCCTAGCCCACGAGTGGCAGAGCGCAAGTCACAACGAGGAGTCTCTGGCCGCCTGCCTCACCTCCCACTCGAACTTGGAAGCCCAGCCCAGATGTTCCCTAGGATGACTGAGTGCTCGCCTGCGCGGGCCAGAATCGCCACCACCCTTCACAGCGAAGCCTGCTTTAATTCAGGCCCTATGGGAGACCTCACTCACCCTTCCAGGGACGGCATCTCTGAAGAGAGTCTTCCTGGGCTCTGGTGTCAGGGGTGTGGGTCTGACCTGCCACAGCTGGGGCTGATAAGGCAGCAAAAGGGCGAAGCGGGGCTGGCTGGGGGCAGGGAACGTTATCTACAGGGGGAAATAGAAGGCTGGGAAAATGTGCTGCTGGCAGCTCCCAGGTCCAACTGACTCTGGGGGCACCGGAGGCTGCAGGAGGGAGGGCTCCTCCCCGCTCCAAGGTGCTTCAAGCCCCTCCACGGAATCCCCAACACCAGCCCTATAGGACCACTGCACCACAGGGAGGCCTCTCAGGTGTGTAGGTTTGTCAGGATGAGGTCCCTGGCACCTGACCCAAGGGGGCCTGTGGGTGGCCCCACCCTATGTCTCTAAAGAGGTTCCAGCAGGCCTGGGGTGGGGGTGTGGAACCAGAGGCACCCAATCCCGTAGAGACAGAGTTTCACAATTTCCGGGATGGGGCTCCAGTGCGTCACAGGACAGCTTCCAGCCAGAAAATAAAAATGGAGTGGCTACCCCTCCTGCTGTTTCTGACGCAGTGGTCAGGTGCCCCCGGTGAGTGCCTCCCACCCCATCCGAATCTTCCCTCAGGAGGAGGTTGGCCCCAGGCCCGACCTGTGATTTGAGCCTGAAGCTCACTTTCCTGCCGGGCATGGAGCAGTGACCTTGGCCTTTTGAGTGGAGCTGGGCAGCCCCAGCGACACAGAAGCCATTAACACACCAGGCCTCTAGGAGCACATCTGCTGCAGCCCAGGGGCAAGGTTGGGGCCACACTGCAGGAATCTTGTAGGCAGTCATGCCCCCTGTGCCTGGCCTTCCCTATAGCCCTCCACTTGTCTTCCCGCTGAGGAGTCAAGGCAGAATGGCTGGGGCGGGGTGGGGTGGGGGGGCAGTGTGAGGGCTCTGAGCTTTGGTGTTCTCATCTGGGGGAGGAGATGAGGCCAGTTCCAGCACCCACTGCTCTTGTGGAGGGTCCATGTCCAGCCTGAGCCCATTTAGGGGGCGCTGTGATGACACTCCTATCTGGGCTTGCTTGCTCTACCTGTGCAAGGGGCCAGCCTGTAAATGTGCCCACGGGGTTCATCTGAGAGGCCTTGGAGCTCTGGTCGGATGTATGAATAAAAAGTGTGGACATGTGGATATACTCGTCTGTGGATACACAGGCAAGGCATGCCCACCTGCCCGGTGCTCACCACATGCCCATCCGCAGGGCAGCGCTCGCAGCTGAATGACTTCCAAGTGCTCCGGGGCACAGAACTGCAGCACCTGCTACATGCAAGGGAGCCTGGGACTTGGCAGGAGAATGTGACCAACGTGGAGGAGTGTGCGGGGCAATGTGGGCCTCTTCTGGACTGCCGGTGAGGTGCCAGGGCACCTGGAGAAGGCTGGCCAGGGGAGCCTGGGCGGCTGGCTGACCCTGGCTGGGCCTCTCCCAGGGCTTTCCACTACAATGTAAGCACTCATGGTTGCCAGCTGCTGCCCTGGACCCAGTACTCTCTCCACACAAGACTGCGCCGTTCAGGACACTGTGATCTCTTCCAGAAGAAAGGCCAGTGTGGGAAGGAGCAGGGGTGGGGGAGTGGGGGTGGTACAGGAGTTGGGGCCGGGGGCACCCAGGTCGCAGGCCGCCTTGAGCATCCATCTCCTGGCTGCAGATTATGTGCGAAACTGCATCATGGACAATGGGGCCAGGTATCGTGGCACCGTGGCCACCACCACGGACGGCTTGCCCTGCCAGCACTGGAGGCACAAGTTCCCCGTTGACCACAAGTGAGGCAGACGTCTCCCGCCCTTCCCTGCCTGTCCCCCTCTCCAGCAAGTACTGTAAGATTCCACAACCCCCTCAGATACACGCCCACCCTCCGGAATGGCCTGGAGGAGAATTTCTGTCGCAACCCTGAAGGGGACGCCAGAGGCCCTTGGTGCTACACTACTGACCCGGTCAGGCGCTTCCAGAGCTGTGGCATCAAGTCCTGCCGCGAGGGTAAGCGGCGCGGGGTGGAGCCAGGGGCAGGAGGGGCAGGCCCACGCGCCCATCCTCAAACGCACCGTGCGGAACCCCCACCCCGCAGCGGCTTGCGTTTGGTGCAACGGCGAGGATTACCGCGGCTTGGTGGACCGCACCGAGTCGGGACGCGAGTGCCAGCGTTGGGACCTGCAGCACCCGCACCCGCACCCCTTTGAGCCCAGCAAGTACGCGCGCCCGGGTTAGGGGAGGGTCGCGCACTGCAGGGGCGGGCCGGGCGGGGCCTAGAGTCTAGCGCGCGGGCGCCTACCACCCCAGGTTCCTGGACAAAAGCCTGGACGACAACTACTGCCGGAATCCGGACAGCTCCGAGAGGCCTTGGTGCTACACCACGGACCCGCAGGTCGAGCGGGAGTTCTGCGACCTCCTCAGCTGCGGTAGGACGCGCGGCGGGGCCTGGGCGGGCACCGGCGGGGCGGGGCGGGGGCGTGCCCGGCGGACAGCACGACGGGGGCCGCGAGGGACCCGCCCACACCCAGACCGGGTTCCAGTTCCCGCCAGGGGTCCCTGGGTTTCCCCTAGGGCCCGAGGCACAGTCGCGTCAAGAGGCCACGACGCTCAACTGCTTCGGCGGGAAGGGCGAGGGTTACCGGGGCACGGCCAACACCACGACCGCAGGCGTGCCCTGCCAGCGCTGGGACGCCCAGAGCCCGCATCAGCACCGCTTTGTCCCGGAGAAATACGCGTGCAAGTGAGGTGGCGGGGGAGCCCGGAGGGCGGTCCCAGGCGGGGGCGGGGGGCTGGGACCCCGCTTGGGCTGAGGGGCGCACCTGCGCAGGGACCTTCGGGAGAACTTCTGCAGGAACCCCGACGGCTCGGAGGCGCCCTGGTGCTTCACATCACGGGCGGGCATGCGCAAGGCCTTCTGCTACCAGGTTCCGCGCTGCACGGACGACGTGCGGCCTCTGGGTGAGGCTCGGGCCGAGGGACCGGGCTGCGGGGGGCGGCGCGGAGTCCTCCGCAGGGCCTGGCAGGGACCGGGGCTGATGGGCGGCCCCGCGCCCGCCACAGAATGCTACCACGGAGCTGGGGAGCAGTACCGCGGCTCGGTGAGCAAGACCCGCAAGGGCGTCCTGTGCCAGCCCTGGTCCGCCAAGACGCCGCACAAGCCGCAGTGAGCCGCCCCGGGGGCACGCGCGCCTGGGACTGGAGCCCCGCGGGGGGCCTTGGGACCACCGCTCGTTTTGTGCTCCCTCCCGCCTAGGTTCACACCGGCCCAGCACACGGAACTGGAGGCGAACTACTGCCGGAACCCAGACAGGGACCGCCACGGGCCCTGGTGCTACACCACGGACCCGGGGACCCCGTTCGACTACTGTGCGCTGCCGCGCTGCGGTGAGCAGGCGCCGACGCCCCGCCCCCGCGCCCCGCGCCCCAGCGTGAGGGCTGCTTCCCTAACTCAGGTGGTTTTTGTTTTTCAGCCCACGACCAGCCGCCGTCCATCTTGGAGCCCCCAGGTGTGCATGTGGGCCAGATGCGGGCCGGGTGGGTCTTCCCCAGGTGGGTCTCACCAGGCCGGGCCCGCCCTCCAGACCAGGTGCTGTTTGAGGAGTGCGGCCTGCGGCTGGACCGGCCCAACTATTGGCGCTCCAAGATGCGCGTAGTAGGGGGCCAGCCCGGAAACTCTCCCTGGACAGTCAGCCTGCGTAACCGGTGAGGCGCCGGGCTGGGCTGCCCTTTGCCTCCATCCGGGGTCCTCACCTGATGGCAGGCTCCAGCATGTCTGCCATCTCCAATCCAGGAAGGGCCAGCACCTGTGCGGGGGATCCCTCGTGAAGGAGCAGTGGGTGCTGACAGCTCGGCAGTGCTTTACTGCCTGGTGAGCCTCCCGTGGGTTTGGGAACAGTCCGGCTACCTGCCTTGGCCCTCCCGCGAGCCCCATTCCTCAGACCGGCCAGCAGGGGTGCCCTGGGACAGCAAACGAACCTATAGATAGGCCTCCTTTCCCAGCCATGCGCCTCCCCCGGGTTATGAGGTGTGGCTGGGCACCATGTTCCAGAGCCCGCAGCCGGGGGAGCCAGACCTGCAGCGGATCCCTGTGGCCAGGATGGTGTGTGGGCCGCCACGCTCCCAGCTTGTCCTGCTCAAGCTGGAGAGGTGTGTGGGAACACTGAGGGGCGGGAGGTGGGCTGGAACCTGTGTTCTTGGACCATGAGTGCCCCTGTTCTGGTTCTGCCCCTGCTCCAGGCCAGCCGCCTTGAACCAGCGAGTGGCTCTTATCTGCCTGCCCCCTGAGCGGTACGTGGTGCCTGCGGGGACCAAGTGTGAGATCGCCGGCTGGGGCGAAACCCTGGGTAGGAGCACAGGGCAAGGGCGCGGGTGGTTCTGGGTTTTCACCCTGGATCCTGCCTGCAACTCCCTTCTTGTTCCTGTACCCCGCCTGCATACACACTGCAGGCACAGGTGACAGCCGGGTTCTGAACGTGGCCTTGCTGAGAGTCATCTCCAACTCGGAATGTAACGTCAAGCAGCGGGGACGCGTGCAGGAGAACGAGCTGTGCACCCAGAGTCTGATGGTCCCTGTGGGGGCCTGTGAGGTCAGTGGCAGGGCCCTGGGCTGGCCCCGGGAGGGTGTGTGGAGTTTGAAATGCACTGCTGTATCCCCCAGGAGCTAGTCTCTATCCCTCACCCGTTCCTCCCGCCTGCCAGGGTGACTACGGTGGCCCGCTGTCCTGCTTCACTCATGACTGCTGGGTCCTGGAGGGCATCATCATCCCCAACCGAGTGTGCGCGCGGCCCGGCTGGCCAGCCGTCTTCACTCGGATCTCCATGTTTGTGGACTGGATTCACAAGGTCATACAGCTGGGCTAGGCCTGGCTCTGGCCACAAGTGCCTCGGGGGAGGATGGTGCTTCCGGTCGGACATAAAGTCACTTGTCCTCTTTACGCCTGTGCAGGGTGCTTCTTGGCCTCTGCTTCTAGGAAAGGAGTTGGTGGCGCCTCCCTCGGGCCAGTGTGGACGGTCTGGCCCTGGGAGTATTTTAGCCTGTGGTGTCGTGAAAGAAGAGGGCCTCCCAGTCCCTCAGCGAGAAGGCTGTGCAGGGCAAGGGCTGACTAATGGCTCAGGGCTGCTGCAAGGGAAGCTAGCCTGGGCTGTAGTCCTGGACGGCCAGGCTGCGCCTCCCGGGGGGGCGGAGGGGGGGGGGCAGGGGTCCTACACGCTGAATGAACACCAGGTCAAGGGCTAGGGCTGACTTGGGATAAAATACCACCAGGAACCAAGCTCCACACACTCCTTTATTATGACTACCCAGTCCAGGAATCTCTGCCCACCCATAGCAGAGAAGCCCCTCTCCCTCTGCCAGGCTCTGGGGCTCCAGGGCTGGCCAGCTCGCTTCAGCTGCCCAAGTGTGTGCGCAGCCAGAGCACGGCGTTCATCAGGCTGTCTGACTCCACCTCCACCTCCGACAGTGTGTGGGTGCTCTTGGGATAGAGCAGGAGCCTGGGGGGGACGGGACGATGACAATGTTGTTGGAGGACTTTCCCCTGCCCCGTTGCCCCTCTGTCTCTAACACCGCCCTACCCCCCTGTCCCCCCAACCAGGGCTTGCTCTGCTGGACTTACCGGACAGGCACGTTCCGGGCCTTGAGGGCTCGGTAGTACTCTATGCCCTGCTTGAAGGGCACGCGCCGGTCCTCCTGGCCCAGCATCAAGAGCAGTGGCGTCTTCACCTGGGGGTGGGAGAGGAGGGGGACAGAGGCCGTGGGCAGGGCCCTGGGCTGTGAGGGGGCGGGTGGCAGAGCTGACAGGGAGGAGGGCCACACACCTTAGAGGCATATTTGATGGGAGACTTGCCCAGCATCTCGGCCCACACGCTGAGGTCTGGCAGGCAGTCGGTGCTGTAGGGGAACCCGGCCTCCACCATACACCTACAGGTGAGAGAGGGAGTGGTGGGCGCAGGGCCTGCGGGTCTCCTGAGGGCGGTGTAGGAGGGGACGCTCACCAGTCCGGGATGTCAGTGGAGCCCACCATGGAGGCGATGTTGACCACGGGGTTGCGGGCCACGCAGGCACTGTAGGTCTCAGGGTACTGACCAATCAGGTGGCAGGAAAGGAAGCCACCGTGGGACCCACCCATCAGGGCCACCTGGCGGGCATCGAAGTGCTCCTCCTGGAGTACTTGCTGCACTGCGAACTGCAGGGGAGTAGAGCACCCTGAAGCCAGCTGCCTGCTGCGCTGGGTAGGGCCGCCCCGTGGCCTGCTGCCCATCCCCCACTGACCTGGACATCCTGGACATCCTGGTGGCCCACATTGCCAGGGAGAGAGAGGATGCTGTCCTGGCCGAAGCCAGTGGAGCCCCGATAGTTCACTGGTGGCCAGAGAGGGATGAGACAAGGCAGTCAGGGGCAATCGTGGCCCCCAGACACTCACCATCTGGGCAGTGAGCCCTGGGCCACTTCCACCAGACTCAAGGGGAAGTGGCCGGGACTTGAGGCTGCCGCCCAGGGACCCCAACTGCCTTTCCCCGAGGGCCTGAGTTGTCCACGTCAGGGCAGCTCCCAGTGTGCTTACCAGGGCCAGGCGTCAGAGAGGCCTGGAGAGAAGGCTGGTGCCCATGGAGTGTGTAAGGCAGCAGCGAGCCCCGCCCACCCGGCACCACCTTCCCTGTGCACTCACCCAGCAGCACGGCACAGCCCATCCGGCACAGCAGGGCCGGGAAGAGCATCCAGGCAGTGACGAAGGATGAGTGAGGCCCCCCTGAGGACAAGGAGCCCAGGGTGACGGGCCGGCCAGGCAGGGCTGGGGGCAGGCCTTAGACAGGACACCTACCATGGGGCATGACCACCAAGGGGACCTGGGTCTTATCCGGAGGGCCGCTGGGCTGCAGAAGGATAGCTTCAAAGTTGAGGCCAGCTGCAGGGAGAGGGCAGTGGTCAACAGGGCAAGTACTGCCACTGGGGGCTGCCTCCCTCCCTCCACGGCTGTGGGTCTGGGGCTGAGCTCTGACACGGCCTGTCCCAGCTCTTGAGGAAAGCCCTTGAGATGCAGTGTGGGCACAGGGGGCCCTGTGACCTTTTGGGGGGGGCTGATGGTACCCAGCTCTGACTCAGGGCCTTGCTCAGAGTTGGACATGATGGCCTGCAAGTGGGGCCGGCCATCTCTGTGTGAGGGGAGGCAGGAAGCTGTGAGCTGGGGGGGTGGGGGAGGAGGGATCGGAGCAAGGGGTGTTCCTGGCCCCGGGCCCAGCTCACCATATTCCACATTCTCTTGCTCTGGAGGTGGCTGCAGTACCCGGATGTCCCAGTGGATGTCTGGAATGGGCTCCGCCTCTTCCAGGGACACCCAAAACACTGACTGCTCTTTCCCCGCGGGAGGCAGGAACCCAACTTTCTGTCAGGGGGAGGGGTTGTGTCACCTGTGGCCAGGCTGGGCCCTGCCCCCTCCCCCTCTGCCAGGGCGGGAAGTGGGCAGCTCAACCATGCTGACCCACCCACCTCCAGAGGGCAGAGCCCAGCCACCTGTGGGGAGCTGGCATGCACAGGGTCTCTCTCTCTCTCTCATGCGCCCCTCAGCTTCTAGGCTTTATGTCTCCTGTGCCCTGCAATGCCAGAGGACTGGGCACCGCCCTGGGTAGCCCTACTCTGTCCAACGGACCCTAGCCCAGGACTTCCCTCTGGATGCCAGGCCTTCGTGGGCCAGCTCACTGTCTGGGCACTCTGCCTGCATGGAGCCTGCCCCAGGGCCCCAGGCTCACCGATCCTCACCAGGCTGGGGGGCTGGCTGGGTGTGGAGAACTGTACCACCATGAGGTCCCGGTCGACACTGAGAAGCTTCCAGCTTCCCGCTGGCTTCCCTGGAGAGGACAGGGAGATGCCACTAAGTACTTAGCAGGGGGAGGGCACTAGCTTTTCTGTGCCCTACCCACACAATGCTGAGTCCGGGCAGGAAATCCCTGAGTCTGGCAGGGGAGCCCTACCCCGAGTGGCAAAGGGGCACCTTTCTCAAACACCAATGCAGATGGCCCTGAGTGAGGCTCCATTTGCCAGGGCCAGGGGGGACCCCAAACCTCCCACCCCCAGCACAGCTGCCCCTGGAGGACTACAGCAGCAGGGATGGCAGCTGGGCCCACAGGCTGGAGTAAGGGGGTTGTGGATTCTGGCAGTGGGGTCCCCAGAGGGTCTTAGGCAGGAGCCGAAACTGGCGAAGAGCTGCAGGTTTGCAACTACAGTGTGGCAGCTTTGGGAGGGACGGATAGGTGGGCACAGCTATGGCAGGGGAAGACTCAGATGGCATTTCAGGGGCAAAGTCACCAGAGGTGGGGTGAAGAAAATAGGGGCCAACACAGGGCCTCTCCTGAGCACTGAGGTGGCAGGGCCATCCCCAAGGTAGGCCCCCTGGAGACTTAGGTGGAAAGAGACAACTGTGGAAGGTTTTAGGAGCTGGTCTGGGGACCACGCTGAGTCCAGAGAGTGGACAGGGTGGGAAGGCTATGTGGAGTCGCACTAGGGGAGGGAGGCAGGGCACATAAGTCAGTAAGGGCTGTGCAAGTTGGTTCCAGGTGGCCTGAGTGCCACCCCTTCCCCGCGTGCTCGGACACCTCATCCCCACCTCTGCGGCCCTGCTCACCAGCCGTCAGGGAGGTCACGCTGCCCAGCTGAGTGTCCACAACGAACAGGTCCTAAGACAGAGGAGGTCAGGTGTGGCAGCACATCTAAGAACCCTGAGCTGTGTGGGCCCTCACATCCCTCTGCCCTATGTCTGAGGGTCCAGGTCAGGCTGGGCACCCAAGGCAATGACTACTCAGTGTACTGGGGAGTGGCCCAAGGCCCTGGGTTCAGATCCCATCCACTCATAACCTGCTGTGTGGCCTGGGGCAAGGTATAGAATGGGTTTTTGAACTGGGCTGAGGACCAAGTCATCCCATGCTCAAAGAATGGGGGTGCACTGGGGTAGCCCAGCCCAGGGGGATGCCTCAGTCTCCTCCCCATCAGCTGTCCTCACAGATCTGCCTTGCTAATAGGTCCCTTCTCCCCGAGTGGAAGTGACTGGGAGGGGCCACACTTCTGCCCCGGAAGAAGAGGCCACCGGTTCTGCTGTGGAGCACCCGAGCGGCTGGCCTCCAAAGCAGCTGCAGGGAGAGCAGGCCCGGGCCGGCAGCGGCTCCTGGAACAGCACCCCTAGGGGGTGTCCTGGGGGCTCCCTTACCTGCCGGCTGCGCTGAGCCGAGTCAAAAACCACCCTCTGGCTATCAGCCGACCAGCATCCCAGGGGCAGCAGGCTGCAGTAGATCCCAGAGAAGTGCTCTGCAAGGGTGGGAGGGGGGTCTGGGGGCCACAGCTGGGGGCGGGGGAGGGGGGGAGTGGGCTGGGGGGCTGCTTAGTCTTCAGAGGCAGGCAGGCTGTTGGGGAATTCCCCAGGGGCCCTTGTGCAAGCACCAACAGGCCTGGTTCTGCAGCAGGTGGTGTAAAGGTAGTCTATAGTCCACACCTGGGGGTGGCCTTGCGGGGAATAGTTTCCCAAGGAGGGCCCAGAGATGAGACGGCCTGAGCACGAGAGACGCTCACACCTTTGAGAGGGTGGAGGGTCCCCAGCAGCGTTGTGAGCTCCCAAAACTTCAGTGAATGCCAGTTGGCCAAGAGCCGCCCTCCCAAAGCCTGGCTGACCCAGGGCTTGGCATGGACAGAAGCTGCTGGGGCGGGGAGGGGCCTGGAGCTTGACAACTAAAGCATTTCCTCCCAGGGCCCCTGTGAGATCCACAAAAGGACCTGTGGCTTTAACTGGACCCCCAAACCAAGAAAAGCCGGACGTGCGCTGTAGCCCAATGCACACTCCCCCAGCCAGTGGGACCCCTATCACCTCCTTACAACAGGAGCTGTTCCCGGTGGTGATAGGTAGGGAGGGAAGGCCCTCAGATGGCAGGTGGATGGAGCTCAGGCCTCCCCAGCATGCCCCGCCACACCCCCTTACCTCCCAGCTGCCGAGGCACGATGTCCACCACCACTGAGGTGAGCTTGGTATACCAGTCATACTGGGAGAGAGGATGAGATCAGGGACACCAGAGGACAGGGAGTGCCCTCAGGCCCGGAGCTCAGCATCTATCCCTATCTCTGACAGTCTCAAGGGAGGGTGGGGAGGTATGGCGCCTCATGTACCTTCTCCCTGGAGACCTGGCCCAGGGGCTCGGAGGGCCTCCGCTGGCAGGTCCCTCTGACGGTCACCAGGGAGCTTCTCTAGGACACGCACTGGTATTCGGTTGATTCTAACTCACGGTGGCCCTGTGTGTCACTGACTCCCCACTATATCCCAGCCTCTTGCCCGAACCTGGTCCTGGGCAGATGAGAATGAATGAGAGAGCCTCTCTAGAGAGCAGTGGTTCTCAACCTTCCTAATGCCACGGCCCTTTAATACAGTTCCTCACGTGGATGGTGACCCCCCAACCCTAAAATTGTTTTCATTGCTACTTCATAACTGTAATTTTGCTACTGTTATGAATTGGGCAGCCCCTGTGAAAAGGTTGTTGACAGCCCCCACCCCCCCAAAGGGGTCACGACCCACAGGTTGAGAACTACTGCTATAGAGGGTGCAAAGGGACTGCCAATGGTCCCAGACACGGGAAGTCACATGCCCAGGGCAGGACATCCTCCAGGGCTCCTCAGCTCTCCTCCGGCTTACCAGGCACAGCTGGCTACACTGGTGATGGGGCACCAGCGACGGGTACTGCAGGTAGACGATGCGGCAGTGGTCTGGGCTCAGGCGGGGAGAAGAGACAGCTAGGGAGTCATCCGAGAGGAGTTCTGGACCAGACAGAAGCACGAGCCTCACACGGCTGGCAAGGGCTAGAGCGTTCCAGCCAAGTCTCTGGGGGCACCACCGGTCACTTACCACACTTCCCCTCGATGAGGTCCACGTAGTACAAGGCTGACCTGGAACCACCAGAGAGAGAGACCCCAAGTTCAAGACCAGCTTCAAGCTACAGGCTCCCACCTAGCCCCGTTACACCCCCTCACCTGCGATTGGTGCAGAAGCGGATGCCCAGCCGGAAGGGCTCATGCCACCAGCCCACAAACACCACTCCTGTGTCTCCAGGGGCCCAGAATGCCTGGAGACAAGACGATGGGCAGGTGTGAGTACAGGGGAGTAGCTTAGACAGGGGCCCCTGAGCTTCGGGAGTGATGGGGGCCAAGCCAGTACTGACCTGTCCGGGGGAAACATTCTCGGGGACCCCCTCAAGCACAGAGATGTTGCCGCTCTCCACATCAAGCACACACAGCACAGGGGTGCTTTTGGAAACCATGTTTTCTCCCCAGTCTTCATAAAACACAAACTGATCCCCCTGGGAAGACGAGACACTGTGATGCCCAGGCCTGTCTGCCTGCCCTGTTCGGACGGGTGGTGCAGGCAGGGTGCACACTGAGCCCCCAGGCTGCCCTGCACAGACTGGTCATGGCCATGAGCACCTTGATGGCCTGGTCTGGCTTCTTTAGCCTGGCCACCTCATCCTCACTGGCACTGATGTCCAGGGCTTTGGTCTGAAAGAAGGACTCCGCCTTGGGGCGCTTCTTCTCCGCCACATACAACAAGTGTGTCTCCGAGTGCGACCAGGACAGGCAGCCAAAGCAGTCTGGGTGCAGGGAGGGTTGATCAGTGGGAGCCTGGGGCTCCGGCTATGCCCCGCCCGCTCACCGGCCAGCCGCCTCACCGTCCTCATACACGGGCCCATGTTTCTCCAGCGCGGACAGGTTGAAGCTCTTAATCTTCCGGTTCTTCTCCCAGACCTGAGAATGTACGACTGTTAGGCTGCGCCCCCCAACGGAGTCTTTATCTATGCCCAGCCCCTGGCACCACGGCAGACTCACTTCCAGGAACTGCTTCTCTTCCCCCGTGCCCAGGCCCCCGGCCTTGCGGAGCACGGCTTTCATGGCGCCCGATGGCGACTCTCTGCTCAGGAGTCTGAGAACAAGGGGCATCAGGTTGGGATTGCCTCCTGCCTACCAGCAACCCTTCCAAGGCCCCTCACTGGCCAGGATCTTTAGACAATCTCGAGGCTCTGGTCTCAGGCCAGCTTGGGCACTGTTCCCTCCCCTCACCCCAGCTGGTCTAGCCTCTCCTCCCTGGGGCAGGGGCCCCAGCCTCACCCACCCTGTGGGCTGAGTCCAGCTCAGGGTTTGGAACAAGCAGTCCTTGTTTATCAAACCATGTTTCCAGAGGGCACATAAACTCGCCACTCTCAGCACTCTGCCTGCACAGGGCACACGGGGGTAGGGGTGGGAGGGCTATGGCCATGTCCACATGCAAGCTTCCTCCCTCGCACTTACTCCCCCCGGATCTCCACGCTGTTGCCTGCAGGCCCAGCAAACACCACCGAGTCCCCATCGTGGAACACCAGATACTGACGGCAGAATCGAATGTTCTCCATGCGTTCAAGGTCCCTCTGCGTCCACTCTGCGAGAGGAGGCCTGAGGCTGCTCAATGTGGCCAGTCCTGGCCACAGCACCCCACCTGGGGGGCTAGAGGGGAGGCCCCGCTCCACCTCCCCTCATCCGTCTCCAGACACCCAGGGTGCAGGCTGGGCAACCCTTGCCACAAGCCTGAGGGGGCAGCCTATTGAGGGGAGCCCTCTGCTGCCCACGTCACCCAATCTGGACACAGCGGGTGACTTCCGGAGGTCCACACCTGCTCCCAGTGTTTGGAACCCTGGTCTGAGTTCTACTCCCACAACCCTGTGCACACTCGTGGCCCCACCCCATGCACGCATGGACCCCATCTAATAACAGCTCGGTCGGCGTGGCTCCCCAGACACCCCTGCACCCGGACCAGTCACACCACTGCCTTCACCTCTCTATTTCTACAAGCCCCGAAGTCCATCTTTCCCCAACATTCGTGTCCACCTTCAAGGAGCGAGCCCTCCACACTCCCACCCTCTCCGCGCCGGTGCGCGCTGCTGGAAGGGCCCGCCACCCCATTTCCCCGCCCCACACACCAGTGTGCACCGTTCGGTAGAGGCCCCCGTACTGCGTGGTGACCTCCGGGCCCAGGCAGGCGGCGCTCAGCGCGGGCTGGCGGCTAAGGGCCCGGTACAGCGCCGCCGCCTCCTCGGGCTCGCTCAGCAGCACCTGCGCAGGGGACACAGCAGGGTCAGGCCCGGCACGGGCTGCGGGGGCCGCGGGGGCCGCGGGCCGAGCCCTCACCTGCCGCTCCATGGTCGCCGCTGGGCCGGCCGGGCGGGGCGGGGAGCGGAACGGAGGCGCCCGGAAGTGCGGCTTCGGGGGCGGAGCCTGGGGCGGCCGCTCGGCGGCGACTCCGGAGGGGCGGGGCCTTCAGTGAGTGGGCGGGGAGAGTTGGCAAAGGGGCGTGGCCTTCAAGCAAAGGTAGCTGGCCTGTGAGGGAGGAGTCACGATTCCTGACTCGGGAGTCCTGCTGGGGAGAGGGCGGGGGCAGCGAGGCCAGGAGCTGGCCCGTGGAGGGGTGGCCCCGGCCCGGTCGCAAGGTGCGGAGGAAGTGGGACCGCGGACGAGGGGCCCGCAAGGACAGCTGTGTGAAGAATGGAAGGGCCGACGCGAGAAGGGGCCCTCAGGACCAGGCTGCAAGGAGAAAGGAGTCGGGTCGGATCGAAGTGAACCCTGAGCACCCTAAGGGCGGGTTACAAAGGATCGGGGACCAGCGCATCTTTGAGGCTGGGGGTCCCGGGAAGCCG